GATTCTATTAAAAAAAAACCAAAATGTAAGAGGGAGATGGGGAGAAGTAGATGAGAGAGACAGGAAAACAGGGTTTGCTCACCGTGTCCCTCTGGGGACCTTGGCCTTTCTTGTAGTTTCCCTCATTCTTTCAGTCCTTCATCCCCAAAAGGTAACGGGCCTGAACTTCAGCAAAATAATCAAAATAATGCTTATACATATTCATAATTAGAAGAGGACTTTGGATCGCCTAGTATGCCTAAATGATCTCAAATAAGAATTCAGTGTCCGTGTGTGTCTGTCTTCCTTTTTTCCTTTCTGTTTTTCCTTCTTTCTTTTTAAAACAGGGGTGTTTGCACAGGTTTTATTCCATAGGTGCAGTTTAGTTAGTGTTAGAAGTTTATTTTCGTCAGCATGCTTTTTATTGGTGGTGTAATTACCTGGACAACAACTGAAACCTGTGGATGCTTAAAAACAAAATGCTAAAGAACTTTTAAAAGTGTTCTCTTGTCTACTTACATTGTTGAGATGTGTTCTTACACAGGTGTTTATACTGATTCTGAAAACTGTGGTTGGACTAGTGGAAAGATCTTAAGAGTAACACCTTTTCAGACCTTTTGGAGAATGGAGTATTGTTATATTTAAAAGGCTAGCATCAGATATATCCACAAAAACCTTTATAAACCATTGGAAAGGTGTTACTAATCAAATTTCTATCTGTTAGGGTTGTTAGGCCACAGACTGTTAAGATTAAGTTCTTACTAAGATTTGTATTATGACTTTCTTGGCATGAAATTTTATTTTAGATAAGCTTTAATAAATGTTTGGTACCACCACATCAATTTTTGATAATTTTCAAGTCTGTGCCCATGTGCCTCAAAGCTACAGAATTAGAGCTGAGGGGGCCTGGTCCTGGATGAGGAAACAGGCCCAGAATCCTACTGGGCATTTGGTGGCTGAGCCAGGCCTGCACCCCGGTCTCCTGACCCACGGCCTCTGGCCACTTTTACTGGTTTTATTATATGAGTATATGGCTGACCCACTGCTTGCAGTTGTGTTCTTTTCTCAGTTTTGGGACACTTGAGGACAGAAATCGTCAATATTCCAGAGCACAGAGCCCTCGGAACTTACTGTATTTTCCCATGTATAAGACACACCCTTTTCCGAAAAATTTGGGGTCTAAAAACTGGGTGCGTCTTATACAGTGGTTGTAGGGTTTTTTTTACTTGCATTTCCCACTTTTTTTCGCGCTTGTTTTTGCACTCATACAACCACTATATAAAACGCACCCAGTTTTTAGACCCCAAATCTTTTGAAAAAGGGTGCATCTTATACATGGAAAATATGGTAGCATCTGACCAGTTACTTTCCTCCCCAGACACCCCCTCAGCCACATGCTGTCTCTTTGAGGCTGTACAGAGAGTTAGAAATTGGTACTCCCCCCCATTTTTATTAATCAGCTTACCAACTGATATAATCGACTGGTAACCAGCGTTACCATTTGGAACATAATTCTAGTCTAGTGTAGAAAAACTTGGTATTTTTCCTACTCAGGACAGCTTTATCTTGAGTAAAAATCCAAATTTCAGTGGAACTTTGTGAACTTGAAAAATAGCCTGTAGTCTTCAGTATTCTCTGAGCCCTGACTGGGAGCCACTGTGCACGATGACAAAAGGTGGTTGACATCATGTCCCTGGAAGCCTCTGAGTGTCAGATCGATAAGCTTTTCCGAGCTGCGCAGAATCGGTCCACATTGGGGAGGAAACCAGGGTTGAACTTTAGCCAAGCCATTCAAGAAAACTCTTGTGTAGTTTTGTTTAGCATCTGAAATCAGCATTTCCTTTCTCGAATAAAGGTTTCCATCAAATCGCCAGTAGGAATGAACTGTAGCTGGTTCTGCCTGCGGCCACCGAGTCAGCCCTGGCCCTGTGCTGCTGTGGTCGGGCACGGACCTCTGTTCATTCTGAGCTGGACCCCACTGAAGCCACTGCGGTGCCTACTTGGTCTGAGGAAAGGTGTCACATTGGGGGCAGGGGGCGGGGGTGGCATTGTGAGCTCAGCAGCCTGTGACATCACATTGGGTTTTTTTGTTTGTTTGTTTGTTTTTCTCTTCCTTTTAAAATAAAAGCAGAAAGATAATTACCTTTAGGTCCGCCTACAGATTAGGGGCCTGGGTGGTTGTCTTGGCGCATTTGGCATATGTAAGTTTTGGGCGTGATGAGCACCCGATGTAACCTGTGAGCCTTTAGGTTGTGTGCAGTACTAGCCAGTCAGATGATGTTATTCAGGACTTTTTTTTTTTTTTGCTGCATTAGCATCCAAGGGAATCAGAGCCTTTGGAAATTAAGGCAGTGTGCGCCCTCATGGGCTTGCTTCTTTGCCACACCATAACGCAGCCCCTACCTGGTTGGAGAGGCTGAAGCCGGCCTCCCAGCGTAGCAGGTGCTCCAGTCAGATGGGAACGGCAGCCCATCTTTGTCTGAGTCTCACAGCTGATGTCACCTTCAGTGATGACGTCACCTTCAGTGATGACATTTGTGGAGAGAAAGCATGGCTGGATGTTGACATCAGACCCGTGTAGGACCCAGATGCCAAGGTGTCAAGGCCTGGGGCCATTCAGCACCCTTGGGAAGATGACAGAAAGCCCAGATGGTGGCTTGGGTATTTCAGAACATAGTTGAGAAAAAGAAAATCTCAGTGTTAGCGGAGAATTTAGATAATCTCTTGGATTTTGCAATGTAAATTTTGTATTATTAAGGGTCCAAATTAATGTGGAGAAAGATCTGTCTACATTTGGTATTAGTGTTCTTTCCTTTCCACACTTCCTTCCTCTTTTGTTTCTAAAGAAGGATGCACATGGTGCTAGGGGAGAAATGTTTTTAAAGGAAAACATACGCCTGTTTCATATATTCCCGTTGCTTGCATTGGGCTGTACACAACACCCTTGAATGAATTCTTGGATGAAGGCCTGCCACACTCCCAGTGACCTCGTACCTGATGGTGTTTGTCTTGTATCTGAGGTTTTTTTTGGCATAAAAGTGTACTTTTCGGGTGGGCTCAGATCACAGGTTGCACTTAGGACCTGAACTCACTTGCTCATCCTTATCAGTTTGGGAATAAGCTCATAACCCCACATTAATCATAGCGGGTGGGCTGACTTCATTCAAACCCAGCAAGACCGGTTTTGATCACTCTGTTTTTTTCTATGTAAGATGTCTGCTGAGTACATTGAGTTTGTCAGTGGAATGCTTTTCTCAACCTAACTTTTCAGTTGACCCCAGGTGGCCATCAGCACCTTTAAATGAATGTTAAAAGGGTGTCACTTTGACTGGAGCTCCTTCCTTGGTTCAGACCCTGCCTTTTCCGCCCCACTTTCCACCTTGCCTACCACACCGTGTCTAAGGACTGGGCCCCAGATCCAGGCCACTGTTCTTTCGCTTTCAGCAGCTAGAGAAGTTGTTCTGCACTAGGTGTGCTGTGGGTGGATGTAGAGTTTGGGAGGCCTGCGTTCCGAACTCTACAGTTCATTAAGGAAAACCTTTAACCTCCCTGAGAAATTAACTCATATACACTTGTATTTGAGTTGGTATTACTATCTTTCCTGGCAGGTTACTGGGAGGATTAAACATTACACTCCTGAGAGCACAGAACATGCAGGGGGAGCCCCATACTGGGACCACCCAAACGGCACACCAGCACCCCCTAGCATTGGTCTAGGGAGATCTGACGTTATGCAAATTCACTTTTCAATTAAACATTAAAAAATACAACGTATGTCTAAAGGAACCCCTGAATATACTAATGCAGAGGTAATGTCTGCAGGAGTGGCTATTGATTGGGTAGCCAACAGTGAGAAACAAGAATCCTTAGTCAAGATGTCAGTCTAGATACCAAAAATTCTGTTTCGAGCGAACCTGTTATTTTACTATAAATCCTCAGCAGAAAGAAGGGCCTATTCATCCTGTTATACATTTAACATCTTACCCAAATCCGCTGTATTTGGTTATCACCTTTTCCTTGTGTTAAATCATATTTTTTGAAAATCACGTAGCCTTTAAAATAAAGCGAGAGAATGCATAAAGAGGAATTAAATTTTTAATCAAAATTTATGAACTTGCTTGTAACATTTTTATGATAGTCCCCCTTGAATTATCTTTCCCTATTTGATGAAAATAGAATTCGATTTTTCTATGAGGTGTTTAGTGTTTTGGGTCATAATCATGCTAGGGATGAATTAATAGATCTTCTCTGAGTGAACTGTCAAGACAGATCCCCCTGGGTTTGAAATGTAATTAAAAATGTCAGCGAACTCACTCGGAGGTCCACGGAGCTTCAGGGTACCCTCGAAAATGTTAGGCGAGGGCTGAGAATAGTTACTCGAGTGTGGTGAATATCACGCGACAGCAGACTCCACACCAGGAGGGGGAGTTGCAGGTCACCTCTGTCAGGCTTCTTTTGTCTTAACTTCCTTATAGTTTGGGATATTATTCTCAGATTTCCTGTAGGGACGTTTTTCACACGAGACAATGGGTCCAGTAGGTGACCTCTCAATAAATGGCCAGTGCAAGAGCCCCAAGACAGGAACGAGCCTCTAAGTGACACCCATACTCTCTGCCACCTGTCTCCCTAATTAGACCCCCAGGCTTGCTTCCTTCCCCCTCGGCAGCCCCCCCTTTGATTTTGGCAGGCTCCGAAGGGTGTGCATCCGGGGTGGCAGGGTAGAAGGGCTGAAAGAACTTAGGATCCCTCGTTTATGGCCGTTTGTCCCCACCCTTCCAATCCCTTTCCTTCACAGAGTATGTAGTTGATCTCCCTGACCTTGGCCTCAGAGCTGATTGGGGAGTAGAAGGTGGCGAGGTGGAAGCATTTTTGTTTGGGTAGAGAGCAGTAGATACAGAGCAACTTTTTTTCTGGGGTTTATTAGAAATATTATTTTCAGGCAAATAATGTTATTTGTTAAGCAATTACTTAAAATCAAATAAGCAAGCAGTCCTCATATATGATTCTTTGTCTCTTTTCAGATTTCATGTTTCTTTTCTACAAGTGATTTCTCAGATCACAGTTCTCTGCTGACATTTGAGTTGGATTTGAATGTTTGGAGAATTCCTGCAGCTTTGTAATTTCAGAGGTGTAATCAGCTGAAAAATTCACCTTTTGAGGAGTTCTGTGTTTTGCCCGTCATCTCGTGTAACTGAGTGCCAAGGGTAAGTCTGCGGTTTCCTACTAAAACCAGGTGGGAGAAGTTGCTGCTTTTGCCTCAAATGCTCGATTTGCACAGTAGGTTTCACAATAGTAATATGGTAATAAATGTTGCCCTGATTTGATGAGTCACATAAAATTTCAGTTTTCAAGGGCCTTGATTCAAAAATTAGATTTACTTTCCTGCTGTCGCCTGTGTAGCTGGGAAGCAGAGTGCAGGCACCTCCCACCTGTACCACATCCTTGAGCCTCAGCTCGTTGGCCCAACAGATGGTCCTCGAGCCTGTACGGTGGGGCGTTCTGTGTGCTGTGTGGGGAGCCCCACGATAAGTAAGAACCTCCGTCAGGGTGCCTTCAGTCTAGCGAAGCTTTCCTTCCCATTTTGATGCAGAGAAATCTGCAGCAAAAGATGCAAACAGATAAAGGACTCTAAGGAAAGTTTTACTTGTTTGTATGAGAAAACTGTGTGTATGTTAAAATAAAATCGTATCTGTAATATAACGTGTGGACTCTGAGATCCAGGGGCCCTATAATAACAGATGCTGGACCAAAAAAAAATATCTGTATAAAAGAAAGATTTCTTAGCCCTAACAAATCATTTGGGACATTCGATTTAGAATATAAGTGCTGTATGGAAGTCCAGTTAACCTGGTGTTCCCTCTCGGCTGGTAGTAAGGAGTGCTTTATGAGAAGGTATGATTTCACCTCCAGAGTATAGGGGCAACACCCGAATCGTTAGCTTTCCTTCAGAACCTTATTTTGCTTCTGTTATTCATAGATCGTTTTAAACCATTCTTGAATCTGTAACTTTGGACTATAAAATCTCTTGGTATGATTTCTATAAATGCATTAGTTTAGTATAAATTAGAATTTTCTTTCATTTGGTCTAAAACTACTACTAAAAATTTTGTAAACATTTTTTTTCTCCTTAACCACATTTATTTGGTGAGGGGGCCAAAGGCGGGGAGGGCATCTTAATTTATGTTCCCTTTTCATGTGTGTTAACCAGAACAGTGTATAATTAATATGTAGTATTTCAATAGGGTAGGATTGAGTGTCTGAGTGTCTTTGCCTTATTATCCTTTATGATTTATTTTGAAGAAAATGACACATTCTCCTCTTTATTTAGGGTGTTGTTCATTATGATTTCCAGGTCTACCTGGTTTGGAATGGAGGGCTCAGAGCTCATATTGTGCAGCCGGATTGTAAGCCCTCCCCTTTCTCCCTGCACATACCTTGCCCTCCCAGGACCTTGTTGGTTTTACTAGCTTTACATCCCCTCCTGCATTCATAGGGCATTCCCAGGTTTCTCTTCCAGATTTTATGCAAGACAGACACCATCAGGGTGTTTTGCATCCAAATCCTAGGCGATTTCTATTGCATTAAAAAACAAAAACAAAAAAAACTTCTATGGCAACTCAATTTTTTTTTTTTTTTTTTTTGCAACTCAATTTCAATAGTCATTGCAGTGGAACCTTTTAAGACTTAGTCATTTATAAATGCAGCCATATATTTCATGGCACTATAAGCTAGAAATTAGTGCAGATCCTCAAATCTGATCATCAGATTTCACTAGTAATTCCTCAGTAACAGAATCAAAAACTACTTTAGAATGTTCTTGATCGTCAGTGACATGAAGTTATTGTCAGGGTCCTCTTCCAGAAAGTAGTGAGCCAGCCTATTACTGTCGTGCAAACCAGAGGTGATGCCTGGTGTGACTAGGTGGAGAGCCATACCTGATTATCATGAAAATGTACTGACAAGAATATTTATACCTGTATAATTTTAAAGAAGTATTAGTGTGTAAGTTCATGAGATCCACACCAAAACCCTGATTTGATACTCATTAAATATGACTTGTGGGGGCCGGC